AGAGGGTATTTGTTTTACTATGCTTTTTCATTCTGTGTTAAGAAATTTTAGATTGTTGTCAAATGTACATTCTGTCATTTGTTTGAACACTGGGTTTGTGTTTCTTTACCCTGAGATCAAATAGACATTTTCTTGTATATTTAGCATAGTTTTTGTTATGACTTGATTTTTTAAAAAATGTAACTCTTTAATGCATGTGGGTTTGTAGTAAAATGATAGAAAGAAACAAATTTAGTTTTAAATGTTTTCAGTATTAAACAATAAAAAATGAGAATAAAATATGTTCAATTTTATGGTGATAGCTTTGAAATCTGAATGAAATGGAAATTTCTGCAGCTGTATAGTAGTTCATTCCATTTTGATAGAGATAAACTGAATTTATCAATGTCACTGAAAAAGTTATAGTAATTAGCTCCAAAAGCAGCCTCAAAGCCAAAAGTTTTTTGTTTGGGGGTTTTTCTTTTTGGTGGTGCTAGGGATTTAACTCAGGGCCTTATTCATACTAGGCAAACACTCTACCACTGAGCCACATCCCCAACCCAAATGTTTTAATAGTGAACTGTTTTGAATATTAAAGAGACAGATAAATTTAGCAGAAAAATGGCCAGACCAGTCTCCCTTTTGAACAGAAAAATGAAAACCATAAGTAAAGGCTATTACATAAAATTTGAATAATTTAATCCCTGAAATATAAAGATGATTTAATACTGGGAAATATTGGTGTAATACATCACTGAAGAAATGTAAGAGGAGTGAACCATAGTGGCCATTGTTGTTTCTTTTACACAAGAAATACACACATAGGGTGAACATCCCTAATCAAAATCCAAAATGCTTGGATTCAAATCCAGAATGTTCGAGTGTTCAAAAAGTTTCAGATTTTGGAACTTTACACATTTTAGATCTTTAAAATAGGCATGTTTAACTGGTAAAGTCTATGCAAATATCCCAAATTTTGAAAAACACTAAAATCTGAAACACTTCTGATCCCAAGCATTTTATTTTTTTTTTAAAGAGAGAGAGAGAGAGAGAGAGAATTTTAATATTTATTTTTTTTTAGTTCTTGGCGGACACAACATCTTTGTATGTGGTGCTGAGGATCGAACCCGGGCCGCACGCATGCCAGGCGAGCGTGCTACCGCTTGAGCCACATCCCCAGCCCAATCCCAAGCATTTTAGAGAAGAGATATTCATCCTATATCTCGTTGACAAATCTTGCTCACAAATACACAAATTTCCATTTTAAATTCATTTTGGGATGCTTTTATCTTTTAACACGGGACTTTAATCCATTTATATGTTTTTCATAACCAGTATATTTGATCTTATCATTTTTCTCCTGTCTTGCCTTCCTACCGTTGTTTGACTGGGCAGGGTTGTGTTTCCCTCCCTCCTTCCCTCCCTCCCTTCTTCCTTCCTTCCTTTTATTCTTTCTTTTTCTAGTGTGTTAATTTTTATAGTGGTTATGTTAAAGTTGTTTAAAAGACTTTTAAATCCATGTTCCTAGAATAGTCAAATCAACACTTATAGCTCTGTTGTCCCCTCTCTTTGTAAAAGAGAATTTTTTATTCTATATCTCTGAATTAAACTTGTCATGTTATTTTACCCTTGTTTCTCCCAGTATAATCTTTTTTTTTTTTTAAAGAGAGAGAGAGAGAATTTTTTAATATTTATTTTCTAGTTTTCGGCGGACACAACATCTTTGTTTGTATGTGGTGCTGAGGATCGAACCCGGGCCGCAAGCATGCCAGGCGAGCGCGCTACCGCTTGAGCCACATCCCCAGCCCTCTCCCAGTATAATCTTAATCTTTAATTATTTTTTATCTTTTCTATCCTCTAACTTTATATTTCATAAAAATGAAACCTTAGCTGGGCAAGGTGATGCATTCCTGTAATCCCAGCTGCTTGGAAGGCTGAGGCAGAGAATCACAAGTTTGAGACCAGCCTGGGCAACTTAGATCCTGTCTCAAAGAAATGTATTTTAAAGGGCTGGGGATGTAGCTCAGTGGTAGGGGGCATGCTTGACCTGCGTGAGGTCCTGGGTTCAATCACCAGTATGGAAGAAAGAGAAGAGAGACCTTCTTTCTTATATTCTATGTACACTAAGCAGTTTTCCAAAATTTCATTGGTGTTTCCTATTTTGGGGTGTCTCTTTGAATAGTCAGAATGGCATTCTCCAGTTGGGTTTGTCACAAATAATGGACATAATTGTAGCTACACATTTTTTTTTTCCTTCACCTTCACGGCTTTTAGGTCACCCTTGATATGTATTTGTACAAGTTCTCGCATACCTTTCTGAGCTCAGTTTCCAGAATATGGTTTTCAAAAAAACCATATAATTTTTTTTCCTACATGATCTCTGTGCTATCCCAAACAGGTAAACATGTAAATAACAATAGCCTCATATATTCACTGCTATCAAGATCCTTATTATCTGTCCCATAGACACACACTACCTCTCAGTGCATTTCGCTGCTGCACACCCTTCTTTACTTCTTGCTAGGCTTGTCTGGGAAATGTAGTCTGCCTGCTAGATCAAGAAGCAGAATAAAACAGTAAGAAGGTTGAGAATGTGAGAGGGGCAACAGAAAATACCACTGACTGCTGTCTCAAAAACAGCATATATTAAAAGAAACAATTGCATGGTTTTCACTTGGTACATGGCTCTCTGTTAGTAAGATTCTGAACTAGAAGAAAATATATTGTGAGAGAGGTGCTAAGATAACTTACTTGCATGTGGCTTGCTTCCTTTCTCACAAATAACTGGTAGCAATTTTTCTTTTCTGTTCCATTGGCTTATGCTATCTTAATTGATTCCCTCCCTCCTTCCCTCTCTCCCTCCCAACAAATACTTACTGAGTTTTTACTATGTGCCAGGCACTTTGCTAGGAACTGATTATTTAGAATGTACAAAACAAGTTTTCTTCCTTCATTTTTGGCAGTAATAGTTTCTGGATTCTGTCAGTAACACATTTTGGTGATGATGTGATGTTTTAATCCTCTCTTTTTCCTAAATATTTTCTGACAAATTGAGAAAAGACTATTAATATCTATAGTCAAGACACCAGTATAACTTTGTTTTCCATATGCTTTCTTTGGTGGGGGAGGGAGCAGAATACCAGGAATGAACCTAGGAGCACTTAACCACTGAGCCACATTCCTAGACTTCTTTATTTTTCAATTTTGAGACGGGGTCTCACTAAGTTGCTTAGGGCCTCACCAAGTTGCTGAGGCTGTCTTTGAACTTGCAGTCCTCCTGCCTAAGCCTCCTGTGCTACTGGGATTACAGATGTGCACTGCTGCACCTGGCCTTCCACATGAAATTTTAAAATTTGCTCCAGATCAGGAAATAATGTTATGAATATAGTGTTCATCATCCTAACCTTATAGTATTATTTTCCCAAACCTCTCATTACATCTATCTTGCTTCTGTTCTCAAATTTTTCTTAATTTTTCCTGTCTTATTTAAATGAATAAGATTATATCACTGAAATTATTACTTCAGCCAATGTTTTGACCTTCTAGAACCTCAGCTTGCCACCAAGTTTTCATCCTAAAACAGATTCTTATCTGTTTAAAAGATAAGCAGTAAAGCTGCAGTAGAACCAGGCATGGTAGTGCACATTGTAATCCCAGCAATTTGGGAGGCTGAAGCCAGAGGATCATGTTCGAGGAAAGCCTCAGCAATTGCTTAGTGATAAATCACCTCTGGGTTAAATCCCATGCACCCCCCTCCCCCATAAAAAGCTGCATTCGATGATAAATGAAAAGTTTGGTCATTTTAAAACTTTATTGTCTGGCATTTATTATCAAAATACAAATTTGTGGGGCTTGACTTTTTTTTTTTTCTTTTTTCTTTTTACCACTTTACTGGACATTCTTGTACTTAGAGAAAACTTACTTTATAACCTTTTATACTTAATGGTTTGAGTAATTATTATGAGCTTTTAAACAAAACAAATCACAGAATTTAGCATATAAATAGAAGAAACACATATAGAGCTGCAAGTGTGGACTGTAAAGAGTAAAGCAATTGTTGAATTTCAGTAAGTAAAAGAGAGATCATTGAGTTACAACTTGAATAGCTACATGTTTATTTTGTAATTTGTAGTAAAGTTGTTGTCAGGGTGAGAACTTTTAAGTAAAGCAGGACCTGGCAGTTACAAATCACATCTCAGGATAATTTCCTAGCCTACCCAACACTGAAAAAGCAAGAAGTTTTTAAAGTGTCTATTAATTGGGGGAAGAATCACATAAGATTGTAAGATAGTAGGCATCTTGAAGGTAAGGACTATAAGTTGCTTTGTGTTCCTGAAAGTTAGAGTAAAAAGAAATTTGTTTCTTTTCATGAATAAGATTTTTCCAGAGAAACTTGGTATCTTCCATAGTCTGTAATAAGATTAATAATATTTGTTTTAAAAGTAGTAGTCAGGATTTTGGAGATATTTTCATAACTTAACCAGTTTGTTCATGCCTGAGACAACTGTGTTAAATTTGTTGTTGTGGGAGGAGGGGGGAGCAGCTTCATTAGGTGAAGTGCAGAGTATGTTGTTCACAGCTATTTCACCTAGGGATTAGAAGTCTTTCCCTTTCCCTCCCACTATATCTGTGAATCAGCAAAACAATTCTGTATCCCTAATCTGTGTGCTATCTTTAGCTAAAAATCAAGAAGCTCAGAGGATTTGTTGTTTCTCTTTCAGTTAATCATGCTAGTCTAACAGCATTTTATATTCATGTTTCAATAGGAAATGTTATTTTGTACCATGAATAGGTTAGCATTGCTGAAAGATAGGAGCTTTAAGGCCATTGGAAACTTTTCTAAGTGCTAACTTTTGTATTTTCTTAAGATTTGAATTTGTTATAAACATGAGTATTTGCATTGGAACTGAATGAAAAGATGTTTGACATGTTTTTCTTTTAAAACAATCAAATTTATATGACATGTAACTTAATTTCCACTCCTATACTCTGTGTGTAATACTTGATGTACTTGTTTCTAGGGGCCTCCTACAGATGCTCCTGCAGTGGACACAGCAGAACAAGTCTATATCTCTTCCCTGGCTCTGTTAAAAGTAAGTTATGAATGGAGTTATTTGCATTAAAAACCTCTGTTGCTTTTACTCTATCTTCTACTTTGGTATATTTGCCATCTTTATCCCCTCAGACTTGCGTATTATTTTAGGCACATCTATAAAATAGACTTTTAATTCCACTGAAGAAAAATTAGATTATTTTTAAAAACAAAAAAAAAAAGAGACCAAAAGTCTTGAATACATTTTGTGTCCACATATCTTCCTATTTACAGATGTTAAAACATGGCCGTGCTGGAGTTCCAATGGAAGTTATGGGTCTAATGCTTGGAGAATTTGTTGATGATTACACAGTCAGAGTGATTGATGTGTTTGCTATGCCACAATCAGGAACAGTGAGTACTTTTATGGTTGCCTGCTGCAAGAAAATCTTTTCTCTTTTCTTTTCCTGTGCAAAATAACTTTTATCATTTTGTTTTGTCTTTCCAATGAGAAAAAAATTATAATATTAATGTTTCTAGATTATATGTCATTTACCTTTAAATGCATCATGAATTCTTATAGGTCTCCAAACTGGATGATGGTAATGCTAAAATCCCTTAACTTGTTCCTTCATCTTTAATTAGCAAAACATTGGACTTAAAAGTTAGCAACTAACTAAAAGCATGATTCTAGTTTGATTAGTTTGAACACTTATTTCAATAGATTTTAGATTCTCTTATTTAAAAATTTAATGCCTGTATATTAACTAGTCCTCATATCTTGTTTACATGGTCTTAAAACATGCCCTTATTTTTACTGTTTTATATATGGTAGTGAATGACTTTTAAGATTTTCCTGTTAAAAATATTAGTAAAAATTAGTAAAAAGCCAAAACCCAAAACTATAGAGGATTTCTTAGTTCTTTTTATTTAGGTATGATAATTTGTTTATATGAACCACACTCTATATGAGTTTTGAAAGTTGCTTACTCTGCCTCTTTATTAAAATGTTAATCTTTCTAAAGTTTTTTTGTTGTTTTACTTTTTTTAATGCATTAGACTTATGTAGATAACATGTGCATTTAGATTTAAAAATAGACATTCCATAACCATTCTATTTACCTTCCAAAAAATAACACATGTATTCTTCTCACCTATTTGCTTTAAAAAGTTTATTTTTCTGATGGAGTTTTATCACTGTTCTGCAACATTTCTCTTATTGAGCCTTGTAAAATATCTACTTTAAAAAATGTTGTCATAAAGCTGTTTGCTCTACTTGAAGATTCTTACTGAGTTTGCTTTGATAAGGTACATACTAGAGAACAAATTATTTTTAAGTGATGCATTATGTATACAACAAACATTTTAAATAGAATATTTACCACAGAGTGCAATATATATCTAATGTAGTATAAAATAATAGAAAAATATACAACATTTTCTTTGGAGTAATTTGTTGAAATACGCTAATTTTTGAATTTTGTCCATCTAGACATCCATTGTATTTGTTTTTGTTCATTTGGACTTAGAGGAATACTACATATTAACTAAATATTTAGGTTTAAACCACAGATTATTATTACTTGTAACTATCTTTTTCATGTTAGATATATGAAACACATAATAAAATTATTTCTGTCATTATGTAGATACCTATTATAGTAAATGGTTCTTAGGTTTTAATATAATCATTTCCATGTAAATGTTTATATGACAGTATAAAATAGAATATTTTGATCCCCATATTTGCATAATGTAGTAGAATTAGAAAATTTTTCTTCTGGCCCAAGAGTCAGCAAACTTTCTCATAAAGAGATATGTCTCTATTGCATATTCCTCCTGGTCCTCTCCTCTCCACCTTTTCCTTTTCCCACTCCTCTTTCCCCTCTCCCTCACCTTCCCCTTTTTCATTGTCTCCTTTTAAACTGTTTAAAAAAAAACAAAAACACATCAGATTGTTTTCAAAGGATGCACTCTTTGTTGGAATTCCATTACTGTTATCTTTGGGGCAGAGGTGCTTAGATTCCAGATGTTAGAAGACAACTTGTGGGAGTTATAATGGCAATCAACTAGATAATATGAGCCCTCTTTATTCTTTCATGTGCTAAAATCTTGTTTTGGTTAAATTAGAAAAATACAACATTTTAACAGGCTTGGGTCCAGTGGGAAGTTTTTTTAATTGCTTTTATTGGGACAGTAAATTATTGAAAAAATAATTTTCTATTATAATAACTGAATATTTGTAGTCTTTATCAGTTATCAGAGGATGACATTAGGAAATATATTTGCCTACATAGGTCTAACCAAAAATCATAGCTGGTTAAATTATTTGGCATTTTTGATAAATATATACATAGAAATAGCCATAAACTCTTAAAGGATCCTGAATGTTGTATTAACTCATTAACTAACATATATAAAGTTTCATTTTTTTTCAAAGTTATAAAGCAGTAATCACTTTTTTTTCTTTCCAAACTAGGGTGTCAGTGTAGAAGCAGTTGATCCAGTGTTCCAAGCCAAAATGTTGGATATGTTGAAGCAAACAGGAAGGTAAGTAGTTCAATTGATCATATTTATTTATTTACTTATTAGTTGTAGTTGGACTTTTATTTTATTGATTTATTTTTATCTGGTACTAAGTATCAAACCCAGCGCCTCGCACTTGCTGGGCGAGTGCTTTATCGCTGAGCCACAACCCCAGCCCAGTTGATTATTTTTTTAAAAAAATGGGAGATATCTTTAGAAACATACCCTGAAGTTATGGATGTTATATGAGTATCATTCCTAGGAATCAATATAAAAGTATCTTTTAGTATCAGGTTAATATACTGCTAGTGTAGTATTTCTTCCCTCTAGAATGAAAGAAATCTGCCAGTCAGAGAACTGCCTCATTTTAGAATTCTTGACTGTCAAGTAGTAAGCTTGAGCTGAGGCTTCTCTCTGTTTAGCATATAGAGTTACTGTGTAGACACTTGTAATTGAAGGACTTGTATGTTGTGTGTATTTGATAGTTGTAACTGAATTAGATTCTGAATATTCAAGTATATTTGTAGACATGAGTTTTAAAGATAAAGTAAAACCCAGATATTCTTAAGTTTTTTTTTCCTCAGACTAAATCTCAGTAGTTGCCATTCTCTTGCTCAAATTCTTCTACTGTGGAAAAAACTTCAAAATTAGTGTTAGCAAAAGGCTCAGCAGCTGAGCAGAACAGTGCAAATTGGTTTTTGACTGAGTTCCTAGTTCTACTGCTGGTTTAATTGATATTTAATCCTTTCACAACAGTGGATCCTGGTGTCCATTGTTAAAAATGTACTCTGTGTCTGGAAAATCCAACTCCCAGAGCTAAGGAGTTAAAGAGTAGATATTTACTTGAATGCTGAAAGGGTAAAAACTGGCTCTGAGAAAGTGTGGTAACAAGGTGAAAAACTGAAAGCCTTATCTACCACTGCTAATGTGCATCTCTTAATGATAGCACTCCTTTGTCACACTTATTCATTTCCATGTTTTCTGGATAATATGGTGTAGGATTTCAGAGTTTCTAATGGTGCTTTTTCACACCTGTGTGTTTTTCATCTCTTCTTAATTTGTACCCTGTTAGTGTGTTGTTTCTTTTCATATCATAAATGTATTACTTGTTCTGCTCTGAGTGTCTGAATGCCCTCTTTGTTTCAGGCCTGAGATGGTTGTTGGTTGGTATCACAGTCACCCTGGCTTTGGTTGTTGGCTTTCTGGTGTGGATATCAACACTCAGCAGAGCTTTGAAGCCTTGTCGGAGAGAGCTGTGGCAGTGGTTGTGGATCCCATTCAGAGTGTAAAAGGAAAGGTAGAGTCATTTCTATCTTTATTGCCATCTACTGCCACATTCTGTTTACACATACTTTAAATAAAAATCCATTTTGTTTTAAAGCAGGAGTCTTAATTACACAGAAAACCACTGTTTATTAAAATAATCAAATAAGTGTACCAATCCATAAATATGCCTTGGTATTATTAGTAGTTTAACTATTTAGGGATATGTTGTTACTTTAATCACCTACTGTTGTAAACAGTAATTTTTAATTTTTAATAATTAATTTTTAATTTTTAAAAATTTCCTAAAATTGAAAGTGTTAATCCATATTAAAAGTCCGCTATATACATTTTATTAATATCTTGATAAGCATTTCTCTACTTTTATTTTCTGGTGAATTTGGAATCAGTACATCTTCAAAATGACTATTAAGGGCTCTGTTTCATTGATATTGTGAGGGATATACTCTGGAGTTGTGTTTTCCAAATGTTTTAGACAATGAAAACTTGCCCCAGAGACTTGGTATCAACCATTCACATGTTTGGAGTGAGGATGCAGATGAATGATTAAATATGCTAAATGATTCTGAAAAGAGATTAACTTGCAAAGTATATTGGGTTATATTCTTTGTTAAAATCTCTTTTGTTCTTATTTAGTTCTTTTTGTTGTTTGTTCTTTCGCTTTCTTTTTTCTTTTCTTTTCTCTTCTTTCTTTCTTTTCTTTTCTTTCTTTCTTTCTTTTTTTTTTTTTTTATTTCTTTCTAGCCCCATATGCCATTTTCCTATTTCCTGCCTCATGACAGCAGGGAGCAGCTCTATTATCACCTTCACAGAGCTGTCTGCAAATGTGAGAGGCAATTCGATTTTGCTCAACCACAGGGAGAGTGGATTAGAAAAACTACAGAACATACAGAAATTGGCTAGGTGGTTACTGCTTTAAAATACTGCTGAGGTGTCTTGTTTGAGCATGTACTTCCATTGTAGTGTAGAATAATTGTTAAAATAAAATCACAATACATTTATGGAATCCTTTTTATGCTAGTTTTACAAATAATTTTTAAAGTACTTAGAAATAAAAATTAGCTTGATATCTGTCAGACCTGGAGTTTGATAGTAGTGTGGATTACATTTACATCTGCTCTCCAGCTCAAACAAACTAAACGTGGCTCTTAAAATGTAGTGTTTTTATCTGTTAGGAATTTGAAGTGGAACGTTTTCTGACATCATATTATTAGGATGTATAAAAATTGAGGTCTTCTCTAAAACATGATCCTATTAGGTGTGATTTATCTTTTCAGAGGCAGAAACGATCCACAAAAATAATAATAGAAACTGATATACTAGACAATTCAGAATGGTTAACTTCTGATACTTCTGTATGCCTATATTCCAATTTATTTACTTTCTTTTTCTAAGTATATTGCTACTTAACTGATACAAATAAAAGGAATTGAAAAAACTTCATTTTTATTAGTTTTGTAAATTAAAGTACTGTATAATACCTCTTACATTTAATTCTTTAGTATTTAAGGAACCTTTTTAATAACTCAAGTAGTAATTAAATTAACAATATTTTAGAAATATTAAATTATCCCATAAACCCCCTCTACCACAGTAATTTGCAAGTAATAGTTGAAGCTTAATTTTAAATGGCAATTTCAGTTTCATAACCTAATTTTAAATATTGTATAATATTAGAATTTGCACTATTTTAATTAGTTATAGTTCATATTAAGTGTAGATTTTACTTAAGATACACTTGTAATTATATACTTTCAAATGTTAAATCTGGTTTTTAAAAGTTCAAAAATTTATGAAATCATAAATATCTATTTTATGTCACAAAAAAAATTAAAAATATAATATAATTATATGTCACCCTAAATAAGGATCCAGTTTTTTGTTAATAATGCAGTTTCATCTATATGGTGTCTGGGTTTGGTGGTAATTTATGATTCTTTCGGTGTCAAAACCTCTCAACACTATGAATCAAATTAAATACTAGTAAGTCCATAACCAGGTTATTTTCATTAAAATTATTAAAGTTAAGAATATAAACTTACAAAAATGAAAAATAGCATAGGAGTCTCTCCCTTCCCTGCATGTGACTTATCAGGTCTGTCTAAATATTTAGTAAGGCAATCATTAGATCAGGAGTTAAAATGAAAATCTATGCGTAAATGATGTAAATTGGGTATCTATTTATGGTTTTTAAAACCTTTCTGTATATTTTTATATTTCTGTTTTTCAAAATTCTGTTGCCTCTTTTTTTGAGTGGTAAAATAAGCATGGATTTTTTCTTTGTAATTTCAGTTCATTCACAATAAATTTTATTTTAGGGAGACTTAATTGTGTTTTATTGAATAATTGCTTTTGCCAGGTATTATAGTAATAGCCATTTTAACTTATTCATTACAGTAATCTTTCAAATAGGCACTATTACATTTCATCAGACAAATGATTAAAAAAAATTAGTCAAAGAGATTACTTTGCCAGAATCAGACTAGGATATAGCAGCAAATAAGAATACAAATCCAAGTTTATAAAATTTCAGAGCTCAACCTTCTTTACTGGCTCTTTAATATTATACTATTATGAATTATATAATCAAAGTAACTCAGTAATGAAAAATGAATACCAGATGTTATTGCAGGGCTTTTCCTTAAGTTGTTGTGGCTAGGCATCACTCCTTTCACATAAGCCAGAGGAAAGAGCTATATATTTTATCTGAGTTTTCAATAGTTATTTATAGTTTTATGTACTAATTGATATTTTCCATGTGGTTTGTGTTCTACTAATTTTATAAAACAATATAGAAGATTGATCCCTGTCAGCTTTTGTGACATCCCTAGGACAAATGAGACCATACAGCATAAGAAAATAGACTATGTGATTTAAAAAAAAATCATATTACCTTGTATGTTATACAGTACTATTAATGTTTTTAAATGTTATAGGTAAAAACCATTACTAATTGCATTCATAATTTAAATGGAGCAAAGCTCAGAAATTACAAGCAAGTTTTGCTCTAAACTACTCAGTGAAATAGTTTTCAGTATTCTGCTTCAATGTTTTGTTATTTTATATATTCAGCCCACGACTAGACTTTATTAACCCAGCAAATTAGGAAGTTAATTCAATCTATAATGTGACTGACTTCTTCATTCCAAGAAGAATGATTACTTTGAACAAAATGATAAAACTAGCCTATAGCTTGGTTTTGATATTTAAATATATTTATTAAAATGTATTTCTGCCATAGAGAACTCATTCTCCTTGACACAATTCATGTTAGTAAAATGTGTATATATTACCTGCTAACTCCCAGAAATCAATTTTTTCTTATTTTGAAAACAAGAAAAAACTAATGACTATTAGTCTAATTACTTCCTTACCCTGGCTGGGTTTTCTTGAAATATATATATATATATATATATATATATATATATATATATATATATATATATATATATATATATATTTAATCTGATCAGAAATATTCAATAGATGCTTTAAAAATGTGATACTTATTTAATTGCAGATCAGCTCATCAGTATTTCTTATGTTTGGCTGATATGTCTATATGCTAATGATTCTGGGACACAAAATAAATAAAATCTGTCTCTTTGAGAAGACAATTCATATACATTTAGTGTTACTAGTGGGCAGGATAACATTCTACCAATTATACACTGATATCCTGCATTGCATACAAATACAGTGTAAATTATACTGTTATTGCTTGTTTCCTTCAGTATTAAATTGCAAATTCAGCAAATACTTATTCAGAATCTTGAATGTGCCAGTATACAATAAAGTATTACTTTGTAGCAAAAAATGGTAAATGCAAATTAAATTTTTCAAATGTGTTAAGTGCAAATAAGAAAATAGTATATGCTGTACTAAGTAGATGAAACTAGGGGTGAAGTTTGATGAATGGGATATCACTTTGATGGTCCATGCCTCTAATCCCAGTGACTTTGGAGGCTGAGGCAGGATGATTGCAAGTTTGAAGCCAGTTTTAGCAACTTAGTGAGGCCCTAAGCAACTCAGTGAGACCCTGTCTCAAAATAAAATATAAAAATATTAAAAGGATTGGGGATGTGGCTCCGTGGTTAAGTGACCCTGGGTTCAATCCCTGGTGCCAAGAAACTAAAAAGCAAAAGAAGAGTTTGCATCATATGGGAAGATGGGTCTCTGGAGAATAAATGCAAATAATAGGAGGAATGAGTTAGGGAACGAATGTTCTAAGACCTTATGTGTTATTTTCAGACATCAAGAAGCTTGAGTCCTTTTGAGGAATTAGGGAGCAAAAGTTTTACTTTTCCATGAAATTTTGTATTAGAAATTCTGTTTTAAGATGGTGGAGGTTTTAAAATAATCAAATAATAGTTTAACCATTTTGTCTTCTACTCATCTGTATAAATGTCTCCCCTTCACAAGATTGGAACCTCTTTGAGGGGAGAAACAGTTTCTTATCTTGGAATTTACAATTCCTGGCAAGACTGTGGATATAGCTCATTGACAGAGCACTTACCCAGCATTTGCAAGGCCCTGGGTTGGTTCCCCAGTACCAAAAAATAAAAAAATATGTGTTGCAAAGAGTACTTTATTCATAAATACAATCAAGAAATGAATGTGTCTGTCAGTGTTCAGCTGTTACCCTCCTTTTCTTTTTTTTCAACTTTCAGCATTTAAAAAAACTAAATTTTGTGAGTTCTGGTCATTTTTGTTAGCAGTCATATAGTCATTTATTCAAATGACTGAAATGAGATTGAGAGTCAGTTAAACAGTTTGCTAATGGATATTAGTCTTGATGAATTTGAACATTGTATAATCAGATCAGAATTCAAGTTCAACATGTTGTTTATCTTCTAAAAGTAGTGAAAGATATTTAGCATATCTTTTGTTTGCTTCTTGTTAAATATCAGCTTGAAGTTTTATAAAATTCTCAAGATTTTGTTAGAATATCTATAAAATATTACAAATCCTAATGTGCCTGATTTTAAAATTCATGCTATACTATAGCATTTA